AGAATTTTCCGCCTCTTCCGAATGTCTTTACAAAATTTGCGCAATAGCTCTTTCTCGGAAGTTATCAACGATTTCGCCCTGAAAGAAGCCAAGAATGGGCCGCTTTCCACGGCTTCAGTCTTCCGAAGATTTTTGGGATAATTAGCTGGTGCAACCCGGACATTTTTTTTCTCTATCAACTGAGCTACATCACGAACATTTTTTGAAATTTGTAATTTGCGAAACTTCATGGCAAAAACAAAACTAACTTTTTGTGATTTCAAATCGGGGAAGGAGCACTACCCGAAAAGAGACCGCTCCAAAAACGAGGCAGATTGCAGGTTATTTACTCCGGATAACCTTTCAAATTTTTGGAATCGAGCTGGTAATTATTTGGAGTTTGATATAGGGCCAGTAATGCATCAGCCAAGGGTCTTTGATAGCTTGCCTGCGCGTCTTTTCGGCATTTTCAAGGCAAGTGTCGGATAAATCGCGTAAAGGACGCTGAAATTTCAAGCCCACCGCATCCGTTGCAGAGGCACGGTCAGAAAATGGCCACCGCTTCACGGATGGCTTCACCAGCGGATGACTGGCACCACTTGTCAGCCCCTCAACCGGTCGCTGGATGAGTGTCGTGCTCGGGGCCGTTGTTTTGTCGGATTTTGTGTCGACCGCGCACCGGTGAACTCTTTGGGCCACCGCTAACTGACGGTGGGAGGGGCCCTAACCCGACCATGCGCTGGAAGAACGAGGGGCAACAGACAGACAGAAAGACAGACAGAGAGACGAACGGACAGACAGACATACAAACAGACAGATACCGGCGGGTAAATAGAAGGTGAGCCCGAGCCATGCCCAACATCCGCATCGCCCTTGATGCCGATATAAAACGAGCTGGGGCGTTGGATGATCAGCAGGGCAGCGATACCTCGGCGGTTTTTGAGTTTCTAAAGATATGGCTACTTTTAGCAGGCTTCAGATTTTTGTTTATTCTAGTATAAAGCTGTATCCTACGACTTCTTCAAGCCGTTCAACCTCATATTCCCAACCCACTGCGCTTTTAGCTCGTGCTTATTGCGCTAAAGTAATAGTTTAAGCTAGTACTAAAGTATCGAAAAGTACAGATAAAGTAAAAAGTGCTTGATAGCTTTAATGGCGTTGTCAGGCCTAGCGCCGATTTTGTAAACAAGGAGAGAGGAGCGTGTTTTGGCGAAATTAGCGGATCTTTCCCTTATTTTCCGTCGCTCTCGCCTTTTTTTTCTCTCTCGCTCCCCCTCTCTCTTTCGGTCTCTCTCGCTCTCTCTCTCTCTCTCTCTCTCTCTCTCTCTCTCTCTCTGTGTCTCTCACTCTCTCCCTCGCTCTCTCTTTGTCTCTCTCTCTCTCTCTCTCTCTCTCCCTCTCTCACACCTCTCTCGCTCACTATCTCTCTCTCTCTCGCTCTCTCGCCCAAACGGTTTCTTTAGTATCCCTTTTGGTAGTCGTTTCGAATTCACCGCGTTAGAACTACATTGCCAGTATTGACCGTTTTTTATTAATTCCATACCTGACATTCTTCGCTACCCCTTTCACTCTCTCCTTCCCCCAACTGATTTTCACAGAAAACAAATATTTTCAAGGTGATTGGTCCTAGAGAGAGAGCGTGGGAGAGAGTCGGATGGAGGGGAGAAGTGGTCGGTGGGTGGGTCAATTCTTTTGACATACTGTTGACCCAGAAATACCTCCAATATTTTTGAAAGTTATTTTTCTTGGAATTGGCTGTTGCCCTAGCTTCACGGGAAAATCTAAAATCAGAGAAATGCCAAAAATTCGTGGTTTGCATGGCTCAAACTACGATTCCTTCATTTTATTAGCCAGTTTTGTCTACGCTCTCTCTCTCTCTCTCTCTCTCTCTCTCTCTCTCTCTCTGTCCCTCTCCATCTCGCTCTGTCCCTCTCCCTTTCTTCCTCTCTCTTCCTCTGTCTCTCGTATTTCACTGGATCTTTTTCTACAAGTTTTCTACCTTTCCATGGTAATTCCGCTATTTCCAGCCATGCTTCGATCACTGCTGCTGGCCCTAGCGGCCGTGGCGGTCCTCGGGCAGCAACAACAACAGCAGAGAGGAGACCCTGGAGGACCCACGATGGATCAGGAGAGCAGAAGGGGAGGAGCTGGAGGACCTCAGCAAGGAGGGCAAAATAGTGGAATGCAGGGATCACAGCAGATGGCCCCAAGACAAGGGCAGGGTCAACGAGGAGGAGCTCAAGGAGGACAGGGAGGAGCTGGATCTGGGATGCAGGTGAGCGGGAAAGAGAGAGAGAGAGTGAGTGAGAGAAAGAGAGTGAGATAGAGACAGCGAGCGAGAGAGGCCTAGCTAAAAATTCCAGATCCTCGACCCGAGCGCCTCGCTGATGACGATCATATCCATGGACCCGGCCTCCGACTCGAACCGACACCGCCACCGTGATCAGTGCGGAAAATGGAGCGACTGGAAGCAGGTAGCGTACTCTAGCCTAAAATCTGCAATTTCTCCGACTTTCCAGTCCCTTTAAAATCACACAGTAACAAACACTTGTAGGTGAAATGCTGGTGGCTCGACCAGGAGTTCACTTCTTTGCCCCAGGAGTGCACCAACATCACGCTTCCCAAGAAGGTGCCCGCGGTCTTGCAGCAGGTCAGGAGATTAGAAATTTGTACTGGATGTCACGCTCCCTTTAAAACAATGAAAGCGCCTTGTCTATCGTATAGAGCCTTTAAAAATAGGATTGCAAGGCGCTAGAAAGTCTGAGAACCTACCCTTCTGTCAACTAGGTGTAGACACTTACGCACCGCGCCAAATGCCGCGCGTAGGCGCGCACGAATATTTATTTTAGGTTTCTAAAAGCTAAAAAGCTAGCCAAAAAGTTATAAAAAAACAAGTTGAAGGCGTCATTTGGCGCGGAACGTAGTTGTCGATACCTAGGCGGTTGAAGGGGTCGATTTCGCATATCTGGATACACGAGCTTTCTCTCTGTCTCTCTCTCTCTTTCTCTCTTTCTCTCTCTCTCTTTCTCTCTCTCTCTCTATCTTTCTCTCGCTCTCCCTTCCTTGAAAGCTCTTTAAACCAGCTGATCCCCCTATCCAATTTCGAAATGCATCAGCTTCTCGGAACATGCTGCAGTGATCAGGGCCCACATTTTTGAACTGGCAAATAGCCGGCCAAGATCATTGGGGGGTCAAGCGGTTAGGGGGGAACAAGTTAGGCGCCCGAAGAAAAGATAGGTAACGCAAAGTAGAGGGGTTTCTTGATTTTGCAGTTAGCAAATAGACGGACTGGCTGGCGGTGGTCACTGCCGCTCCACCATCCCCCACCTGACCCCCCCTCCCCCCTATTTGTGGAACATTCATTTTTAGAGGGAAATGACGTCGGCTGCGGGCGGAAACGATCAGCATCGGAATTTTGGGAGGGCAGGCAGACTAGCAGGGGCTCTTTAGGGAACGGCTCGACCATTGAGAAGCTAGATTGGCTAGCAGAGATATTTGGGGAAAGGAAAGGTCGCTTGTGGAGCCGTGCAAGATAGCAGAGATTATCCTCTGATGGAGGGGAGCCTCGGAGGGTGAGCAAGGTAGCAGAGATACTTTGGGAGCCTGTGAGGGTCAGCAAGCTTGCAGAGATATTTGGGAGCATCTGCTTGATTTTGAAGCCTGTGGCAGGCTAGCATGGGTCCTTTGGGAGTCTGAGATGGCAGAGGCAACCTAGCCAAGGTTCTTAGCGAAACACTTGTGTCAGCATGGTTGGTGGCGCTGGTGGGCAGAAATCATTTGCGGAATCCAAATAATCCCCCCCGATTTCAGTTCATCGAGGCCAAGGTGAAAGAGGTCTACTCGGTGCTGCAGGCCGCCTACCAGAAGCGCGGATCGCCGCCAAAATGCGGATACTGTAGTCACTCTTTTGAGTGCCGCTCGCGGAACACCTCGCGTCAAGGAGATGATGGTGGGATGATGCAGATGGGAGGCGGAAACGGGATGCAGATGGGCGGGGGAAGACGTCCGCAGCCCCACGAACAGTGCAAGTGAGTTCTGAGAGAGCGAGAGAGACCGAGAGAGAGAGAAAGAGAAATAGAGAGAGAGCGCGCGAGAGAGAGAGAGAGAGAGAGGGAAAGAGACCGAGATAGAGCTAGAAAGACTGTATTAAATCCGAAATTCCAGAACCAAGGAAATTCGCCCCATTGACGCCGACTGCGACGACCAGAAGGCGTGCTCGATGACGCAGGTTGACGGTGGATGCCCAACCCCAGTGTTCCTCCACAAAGACCACATGGACAAGATCAACGAAATGATGATGGACGGGGACCACGAGGTGTGGCAAAATCCACGTCAAAAATCGTACAAAATCTAGGGAGCCCTGAACATGGTGCACTCGATGAGCAACAACAACAACGGCATGGGATCGGACTACTTCTCCGGCATTGACGATGACGATGCAATGGAAATGGAGATGGGAATGGGCAGGAAGAAGCGGCAGAGCGGCTTCTACAATGATGACGATTATTCCCCGTATATGGGACCATCGCAGAGCGGACAGAGAATGCACGGTAGGGTTCACAAGACGTTGTCAACGGTATCCAAACGGAATCACGATTTCTACCTTAATTTTTCAGGGAACGGACCGTGGACCGCGCAAGACGCGTGGACCGGCAGCTCGCAAAGCCGGAACCCATTCCAGCAGTGGCGCCAACAGCAAGGAGGCCAGGGGATGGACTCGCAGTTTGTGGGGCGTCAACAGCGACAGGGTGGTTATAGAGAATATGGTGGACAGTCACGAATGTCCGGAATGTCCGGAATGTACCGCGATGACTCTGGAATGATGGGTGGACGCGGTGGATTTGGCGGATTTGGCGGTGATGATCAGATGATGGGAGGTAGACGAGGAGGACCTGGAGGACCAGGAGGACGAGGCGGATACGGGCCGGATTCTGGAGATCGACGTGGAGGTTTCGGCCCCAATTCTGGAGATCAACGTGGCCCAGAAGGCCCAGGAGGACGAGGTGGATATGGACCTGATGATGGCGATCGCCGTCGACCAGGAGGACGAGGTGGATACGGACCCGATTCTGGAGATCGACGTGGACCTGGAGGACCGGGAGGACGAGGCGGATACGGACCCGATTCCGGAGAACGACACGGTCCTGGAGGTCGCGATGGCCGCGGACGCGAAGATGACCGTCGGGGCGGACACGGCCGCTTTGGCCCCGATTCTGACGAACGACGTGGCGGACCTGGAGGTCGTGGTGGAAGGTTCGGCCCGGATTCTGATGAAGGACGCGGACGTGGTGGACACGGACGCTACGGACCTGATGATGATGATCGTCGAGGACGCGGAGGACACCACGGTGGATCTGATGAGCGACAGGGAGGCCGAGGTGGCGATCGTCGTTACAACGACGAGCCGATGGGACGACGTGGTGGACGTGGAGGTGATTCCGAGGATTCGGAAGAGCGAGGACACGGACGCGGAGGAGATGACCGACGAGATGGAGGCGGTCGATTCGGGCCAGATTCGCGGGAACGACGGGGTGGGCGGTCTGATGAAAGGCAGGGAGGACGCGGTGGGAGCCCGTGGGATCAGGTGAGCCCTCGTTGAAGCCAGTCAGGCTGAAGTTTTTAGGATCGTCAATTTGACGACAGACGTCGTGGACGTGGTGGACCTGGAATGCCACCACCACCCCACCTCAACCTCGCGAGCAAGATGGTGGTATGGACCACAGGAGGGGCAAGGCAGAAACCCTGGCCCAGCTTTTGCACGGAACGAACTGCGTCAGGTAGCGCTAAAATCGCTAAAATGAACACCAAATACTTTCCAGCACTGGCAAAGACTGTTTGTGCTGCTGTGGAGGGTATATCCCCGATGCAGCCTCGGGTAACTGCACCGATATTCGCCGTCGCATCCCTGGAATTGATGGCCTCATGGACTTTGCGCTTCAATGTAAGTATGTGTATGTAGGTATGTAGCTGATACGGATCCAAATGTCGCTATCATAATGTCGAAAATCGTAGTGCCGAAATTCGTAATTTCGAAATGCCATAATGTGAAATGCCATTCGAAATCCAGAATGCCGATATTTTTTGCTCAGAATTCCGGGAAACTTGCTCATGTAAATTTCGATATTGTGAAATTTCGACATTATCAATTTCGATGCTATGAAGTTCGACATTGTGATTTCGACATTTTGAATCAGGAAATTGACACCATTTTTACACAGTTTTCTACCATTCCTCGGCTTCCAATATTCTATTAAAAAAACAAAAAAATATGAATTTTTATGAATTGCTTACGATAGGTTTTTATTAAATGAACGATTTCAACGAAAATTTCAACATTTTAGAACTTTTCAGATTTTCTAGTTAATTTTTTTAGTTTGGATCGTTATCGAAATTAGTTCAATGATATCAAAAACAGTATTAAAATACTTGCTAGACATACGAAAGAATAGGTCCCTAGAAATAAAGTTGCAGGTCCTAAAAATTGCATTCAAATTTCAGCCACAACGGTATCCAGCCTCGACGACGACTCAACCACCCAGGATTCCATGTATTGAATGAACAATGTACGGCAGAAGATTTATTGACCCCTGAATGATGTGATAACGGGACCAGAAAAAAATTAAATAAAAATTGACATTACGCAAGGGACAAGGCAATGGGCGGGTGGCAGTGAATGGGAAAAACACTGGGTACTTTTGCATTATCGGGGGGGGGGCATAGCAAGCATATTAAAAATATATCGTATGGAATGAGCAGGTTAGTGCACCGGGGAGAAAAAGTGAGAAAAATTGTATGGTAGTCTACCCTGCTGCAAAGCGCACAATTTGAAAAAGGATTTACGAGAAATTAGCGTTATCTTATTTGCACTATTTGTGGGAAAAATTTAGGTTTCCTGAACTGGTATTAGGATATGAGCCGGTGGGGGCTGGGCTTCCAGTTTACTCGAAAAAATGATCACCCCCGATAACAGTCCAGTACCATTTTTTTTTTGAATAATCGATCTACCCAACAACGGAGCAACCTGCTCGATAAGGGAATGAAGGCCTTTAGGGGTTTGGGAAAAAGGAAATCAGCTTTTTAATAACTTTAACATTTAGCAGAGATCGGGCGGAAGCATCCATAAAGTAATACAAAAATTTAACAGCTAGGAATTTCATGTGGATCTGGCTTAATTTACGTCGACTTTTTCGACTTCTCGAATTTTCTTTGGCTATTCCCGCGGCACCGTCTCGGCTTGAGGATCAGCTCCGTCGGCTTGGTTGGCGTTTGCGTGGGAGCGGCGGGCGACTTCTAGCAGTTGGGCGGCTGTGTCGCGACCCGTTTCCTTGACAAGCGCTGAGAGCTGGGAGTGCGGCTTCTTGAGGAGCTCATACGGGTGCGCGAATTCGATCAGACGCCCGTCCTTCAGCACCTGGAAATGATGATGTTAGTAAGAAAGCGCATCGCCAGGAACATTGCAGCGCGCAGCTTAGGCTTGGGCTTAGGCTTAAGCTTAGGCCTGGGATTAGGATTCGGCTTAGGTATAGGCTTAGGCATGGCTTAGGGTTAGCTTAGGCCTGGGAATAGGATTCGGCTTAGGTATAGGCTTAGGCTTGGCTTAGGGTTAAGCTTAGGCCTGGGAATAGGATTCGGCTTAGGTATAGGCTTAGGCTTGGGCTTAGGCTTAAGCTTAGGCCTGGGATTGGGATTCGGCTTAAATATAGGCTTGGGCTTGGCTTAGGCCTAGGCTCAGGAAAACATTTGCATTAGCAAAACCCCACCATCACCCGGTCCGAGTCCATGATCGTGTGCAGTCGGTGGGCGATCGTCAGCACCGTGCTGTTGGCGAACTGACGGCGGATCGTCTTTTGGATCAACTCATCGGTACTAAAATAGTTTGTTTTACTCCCTAATTAAAATCATACTGTGGATCAACATTGGCCGTGGCCTCGTCGATGACGAGGATCTTCGAATTGCGTAGAAGGGCTCGGGCCAGGCAGAAGAGCTGCCGTTGCCCCACCGAAAAGTTGGCGCCGCCCTCTTGGACCTCAGCAAGAAGGGTACCGGACAGCTCGGAGACGGCCTCCTAAAAGTGATTAAACTCCATTACCCCTGAATTTACACCTTCAGCTCGACTTGGTCAAGTGCCGTCCATAATGCCTCGTCGGAGTACTCTTTGAACGGGTCGAGGTTCCGCCGCACAGTACCGACGAACAGGACAGGTTCCTGCAACCGTTTTTTGTCTCTCAACTTTATAGTCCCCTTAAAGTTCGCTTTCAACCGGGAAAATTCCAAAAAAGCCCGTCAATCATAATAGGACAGCCGAAATACCGGAAGATAAAATCCCGACAACTGAAATCCGGATAGGCCAGAATCCCTACAGGCCAAAATACCGACAGCGATAATCCCGGCATGCATAAATGCTGTACAAAGGAAGTGGAATTCACACTAGCGTCGGTTATATATCGGCTTTTGGTTGTCGAAAGTTTGGTTGTCGGGACTGTGCTTGTCGGTATTCTGTCTAGATTGTGCCTGTCGGGATGATGATTGTCGGGATTATTGATTTCAGGAGTAAAGGCTGTCAGGATATGGCTGTCGAGATTGACGCTTCGGGATTCGACTGTCGGGATTTTGGGATGTCGGGTTTCTGCTCGTCGGCATTCTGTCGAGATTATGTCTGTCGGGATTTTAACAAAACCCCTTTCCACCAACCTGCGGAATGATGGCGAGATGCGAGCGCAAATCGCGCAGCTGCAGGCAGTTGATGTCGACGCCGTCGATGAAGATTCGGCCTGGAGATGAAAATCAGCTCAAAGACTACCGAAGTCTGACACACCTGTCGAAGCCTTGTTCATGCGGAAAAGGGCCTTGAGGAGTGAAGATTTGCCGGCCCCCGTCCGCCCGACGACACCAACTTTCTGGTTGCCATCAATATTGGCAGTGATTTCGCGCAGGGCCAACGAGTCGTCGTATCGTAGGGAAAAGTTGTCGAAGCGGATGTCACCTTTCGACGGCCATCCGGATGGGGTCTAAAGCACCAGTTAGTCAAGAGGAGAAGAAAGACGCAGTACCTGGATGTGACCTTTGTTAAGGTGTTCTGATGGCAGCGCGCACATGTTCAGTATCCGCTCGACGGAGACCATCTAAAGAATGGGTAGCATTGCAACGTTTTCCCGCATCGTACCCCGTTCTGCATTTCTGCCGACTGGCGCATAATCCATGAGAAGAAGCCGGTCAACTGGACGGCGTAGACGAGCATCAGCGCCACTTCGCCGGGCAGGAAATCTCCTGAAAATGATGAAACGTGTTTAGGAGCTAAGCCTAAGCTAAGCCTAAGCTAAGCCCAACGAAACCTAAGCAAGGCTAAGCCTAAGCCTATGCCTGAGCAAGAAAGTGCCTACCGGACGCAAAGGCACAAGCAAACGCCACAAAAGAGACGAATCCCGCGACAATCCAGTCGATTTGCACGGCGAACCATCGGGATGTCGTCAACGAGAGCGAGAAGGCCGCCGAATTCATGTTCATCTGAAAAGATGTCTAAAACAATGCAGAATTGCTACTTTGTCATGGTAGTCCTGTTCGATTTTGTCGCGCTTCCCGAACGCCCGCACCGTCATCAAGCCGTTCATCATCGCCGAGATGTGGGTATAAAGTGGGGAACGAGCTGAGGAAAGTTGTAACGACAACAAAAAAACGTACAAACAGCCTCGAGTCGTTTGACATCCCGGGAAGTGGATAGGTAGATTGAGCGGAGCACTATGAAGACGAGTCCGAGTGGAAGGCAGAGCAGAATGACTCTTGGATTGGCCAGGAAAATGACTCCGACAGTGCCGAGAACGCCCAGCATACCCTGGAAGTACGCATAAAAAGTCATAATGCTATAATCCTATTAATAAAGGTAAGTGCCGAGCTAAAAAACCAACCAGAACGAACTCGAAAAACACAAATGCCAATGCCTCGTCCATCGTGTGCATGTCTTTCGAGAATCGATTCAAAACCTAAAAACATCCATAGAATAGAGTGGAGCAAGTCGGGTTTGCGGATTTTTCCGGGAAAATCTCTCTCTCTCTATCTCTCTCTCACTATCTCTCTCACTCTCTCGCTCTTTCTGCTCTACCCACTCTCTCTCCCTCTCTCTCTCTTCTCCCTCTCTCTCCCTCTCACTATCTCTCTGTCTTTCTCTCTATATCTCGCTCTCTCCCCTCTCTCACTCTCTCTCGTCTCGCCCTCTCTCTCACTCTCTATCTCTTCTCGTCCACTCTCTCCAATTCGCGAAATCCGATTTTCAAAATTCTCATCAGAATTTGGCTAAAACTCACTCTCCCGACCGGATTTTTGTCAAAGAACTCGGGCTCCGTGTTGACGACTGCGTGGAACATTTCGGCGTGCAGATTTCGTGAGGCCAACGTTTCCAGATACCGCAACCAGATGCACCTAAATTTTAGGTTCTAAAACGAGTTAAGCCAATTAGCCGGGATCAAAAACCCGTCAGTCGATTCCGGCCAATTTTTTTTTAGAGCTCGTTTTTCCTTATCCAAAAACAGGCATGCATAAGGCTCTAGGTACGGAACAACGTCACGGAGGCGTGCGCGCAAATGCACACTAACACACAAGAATCTGGTTTTATAGATGGCCCTATCATGATATAGAATCCCTACCTGATGAGCGATGCGATGGAGACGAGGACGGAGGCGACCGCGAAAACCCACAGGAACATGTCCAGGCTGACGTCCATTTGAAGCCCGAACAGCTTGACACGGTCCTAGAAAAAAGCTGCTGAACGGCCCGAAAATATACCGTAAACCCCGCCGGCACGTCGTCGATGTTGGTACTGTTGCCGGCGGCCCGCATTGCCCGCTCAGCGGCATTTGTCCAGAGATTCAACCAGTAGTCGGTGAGGTTGAAGACGGCTTGCGACACGATGGTAAACACGAGGGCTGGCAGAAGGGAGCAGAGGCCCATCGCCTTGATGTAGCGCCAGTAGGTGGACCTGGCAAAGGATAGCTTGGTGTAGCTGAACTTACCAGGGTACCGATCCCTCAGCACGGTCCTCCTCTTCCTCTTCGGCGGCTTCCATTTCACGGTCTTTCTCGTGTGGTTGATTGGCTAAAACAGCAATTGCCGGTACTGGGCTGTTAGCAGGGTGACTAACTTTTATTTTTCCGTCTATATCTCCTAAAATAAAGTATTTTTATAGTAATTTTAGCAGTTTTTGATTGCTAAATAGCTCTAAAAAATTTTTAAACAACTTGAAAATTCGAAAATTTGACCATTTGTGGTCACTTTTTCCAATTTTCATACACGTTGATAGCTAAACATACGTTAAATGCTACTGCAAAGCTCTATTTTTCGCTATGCCCCCCGCTAACAGACCAGTACCGAATCACATACCGAACACTTACCAATTCCCTCAAAAACCTCATCTACGGCATCGTCCATCTGCTCTTCGGCCGATGCATCACTAGCCACGCTTTCAGAGCGGCGAGCCGCGTAGGTTTTCGTCGTTTCCTGGAAATGAGCTTCGGGTGCTTTTGCACTATCGGGGGAAAAATTTCCCCCGATCCCTTCCCCTGTTATTGCAAAAGTACCGATTTGACAAATCTTCGATGTACGCACCTGAATAAGTTGGTGGACGAGCTTCGAATTGGACTCTTTCAGCTGCTTGAGCGTGCCCTGGAGCACCACCTCTCCATCGCGCATCAGAAGAATCTCGTTAGCACGGCCGATGAATTGGAGTTGATGGGTGACGAGGATCACGACACGATCGCGGAGGTACTCGCAGATGCATCTAAAAACTATGATTTTCGACGTTGATGTAGTTACTTGTCAAAGATGAAGCGTCCTACAGCAGCATCAACAGCCGACAGCGGGTCGTCGAGCAGGTAGATGTCCGCCTAAGGAAAATGGTACCGGGCTGATCGCGGGGGGAAGGTAAGCCAAACTTTATCATCATTAACAGATCGAAATTAGCAGAAAGTAATAGCCCCCGCACTAACAGTCCAGTACCGAATGAAACTGTACAAATGACGCACCTGGCTGTAGAGAGCACGGGCTAGTGACAGTCGTGCTCGTTGGCCCCCACTCAACGCGAGTCCACGATCACCAACGAGATTCGCATCACCGTTCGGGATGTCGGCGAGGTCCTGAAAATGAGGGTTGGTTCCAAAAAATGTCGCTTACCTGCTTGAGCGCCGACATCTCGAGCACCTTCTCGTACAGGTCGAGATCGAATGGGTTGCCGAAGAGCACGTTGTCCCTTACAGTACCCCCGAATATCCAAGAGTCCTGTGAGCAGTACGCGACAGTGCCGTGCACACGGAGCTAAAGGGTAGCGACTTTCACAGTAAGCGCCAATTTACCTTTCCAGCCGTCCGCGTAGCTTCCCGGAGGATCGAGGCGAGTAGGGATGATTTTCCGGCTCCAACGGGCCCGATGATGCCGATCAGCTGGCCCTTCTCGGCGTGCATCGTAATGTTTCGGACTGCTGTTGACGTGTCGGAATCAAATTTCGAGATGTCCTAAAAAATCAAGTTCACACTATAGGGACTTGCCGGTGCTTTTCCATTATTGGGGGCGGGGGTGGTTTATCAAGGCGGGAACCAATTTTTTAAAGTTTTTTAGATAGTTTTCCACACGAATAATAGCTAAATTTTACTAAAAAC